TAAATGGAACCGACTCGATGGCAATGAGTTGTTTGTTTTGGTTTGTCCATTTTTTGGTTTCATTCTGTTGCACATAGGGTAGCTATGGGTCAGAGCCAACTCCATAACACCTAACAACGACAATTAAGATGATTATGATTGGTGTGTCTCTTAATAAACCAAATGTCATAGCCATTCCCAGCAGTGCACCACTGTTCCTGCTGTTCCCCACCAATTTGTGACCTGTGCTTCAGTAGGCCAACGCTGCCACATAACAAGAATGAACCTGGTGCTGAGAGAGAGGGGACACGTTATGAAAACAGAAAAACAGCGCAACTGCTGCTCTGCTTTAAGGGAGCTCTGGTGGCATAGTGCCTAAGGCATTTGACTGCTAAACAGAAAGCTGATAGTTCAAAACCATTCCTCAGAAGGAAGACTGCGCAATCCACTTCAACAGAGATACCACTTTGGAAACATAAGGAGGGGTCGCTATGAGTCTCTGCTTTAGCATGACAAAATTGGAGCTACTAGAATGAGAAGGGGAAGAACAGGAAGACAAGCAATCTCTACACCCAGTTCAGAGTCTGTGGTCAATCTTTGTATCCCTCTTTTTATATACCCTCAACTCCCTGGCCCCTCTCCTGTGCATACATACTTCCCTGACAAAATCACAGACTTCATGCAATCCAACTCTGATCCTTCTGAGGCCTGCACCCCTGCACTTGAAGAAAATTAGGCAACCATGCCACAAGGTCCTTAAGTGGCTGATCACACTCAGTGCTGCCCAATAACCATCCAATATTTCCCTAGGCCAGTCACTCTTCCTCTGTCTTAGACAATCATTTCACATCTTATCTTTTTCTTTTAAATTCTAGCCCTTACTCCCCCATCCCTGCTGTCAGCAGAAAAACTGAAACAGAGACAAGTGTCCACAGACACCACAGCTGCATTGGTCCCCTCTACTCAAGTATCTGCCCCCACAGCTTTGGATGCCTTCTTGCTAAGGCTGGTGCCACCACTGAGGCCTTTGAGCCTGTCCCCACTGGCCTGTTTAAGACCTCCATGCAGACATTCTCTCCTTCCTCACGACTTTTTCCCTTTCAACAGAGACAGTTCCCTCAGCACATAGCCATGCTGTCATCTCCTCAATTTAAAAAAACAAAAGAAAAAACTCCCTGGACTCCTACTTCCCCCTTCAGCTACTACATACCCTAAACCTCTACTTACATTTACTGCCAAGCTCTAAAGACTATCAATGTTCTAATTTCCATTGCTCTAAAACCTATCCCATTCCTATACTTAAACCCTTTTTGGTCAAGGTCACCATTGCTAAATCCAACAGTGAATTCTCAGTCATCATATATCATATTACCTCTAATGTAAGATACCATTATTTTATATACCAATTAACTGTCACACAGCATCAACTTAAAATGGATTCTGATTTCAGAAAGGAAAACTATTTATCTACTTAAACAAACAAAAAACATTGGTTGGAAGAATTTGAGGCCGTGCTGGGGTGGAGATCTCTGCTGTTATTGCTCAGACTCCTTTCTTAACCTCTTCTATGGCAGCCCTAAGGCACTTGACTGCTAACCAGAAGGCTGGAGGTTCAAACCCACCAGCCACTTCTCAGAAGGAAGATGGGGCAATCTACTTCCGTAGTGATATCACCTTGGAAACCCAAAGAGGGGTCGCTATGAGTCTGGTCCGACTCGACGGCATATAACAACAACGACAACATGGCAGCCCTGGTGGCACAGTGCCTAAGGCATTTGACTGCTAACCAGAAAGCTCGCGGTTCAAACACACCAGCCACTCAGAGGAAGGAAGACTGGGCAATCTACTTCTGTAGTGATGCTGTTATGTGCCGGCGAGTCGAACCTGACTCGTAGCCACCCCTCCTTGGGTTTCCAAGGCAGTATCACTATGGAAGTAGATTGGTCAACCTTCCTTCCAAGGAGTGGCTGGTGGTTTGAACTGCCAGCCTTCTGGTTAGCAGTCACATGCCTTAGGCACTACGCTACCAGACTGCCTCAGAAACCCAAGGGCCATGAGTCGGATCTGACTTGACAGCACTGAGGTTTTTTTTAATAATGGGTTTCAATCAAAGCATGCAGAAGAGCTAGACAGGAAGCAGCCACTGAGCCTGAACTGATACTAAATTGTTTACTAGGAACATGGTTGACCTTCCCTATGTAGAAAAGATACTCTGGATGGGGGAGAGAAAGAGTTCTCTTCTCTCTCCACTGCAAACAGTGATTTAATGAGCCTTAACAATTAAACATTTGAGGATCAAAAGAAGATTAATTCGTAATGCTATTTAACACTCTTTTCTCTCTCTCTGTACAGGAAATATAAAGTGTGATCTGAAGAGTGTTAAGCAGACAAACAGTACTGTTTTAATTAACTAGCTAATAGAATTGCTTTTCATTATGCTGTCAGTCTCTTTTTATATAACAAGAAATGATCACACATTCCCTTCATACCCAAAACCACTGCTTAAGGGAGGTTGCTTTTGTTTTTTGTTTTTAAGGCACTTATAAATGGAAAGAAAGAAAATATTCTTAAACATTCCAAGGCCTTGGAACACTAAGATGAAACATGAGCGTGTATTTGTGTCTTCCTAATGTTGTTGTTGTTAGGTGCTGTCGAGTCGTTTCCGACTCATAGCGACCCCATGCACAGCAGAATGAAACACTGCCCGATCCTGTGCCAGCTCCATGATCCCTGCTATACTTAAGCCCGTCATCGCAGCCACTGTGTCAATCCATCTCTTTTAGTTTGTTTACCTAATATTATAACCTTCCTAACATTAGCCCTTTCATTTCAGGCTTTTTTTTTTTTAATTATGACAAATTTCAGAAAAAAACAATGGATCATTTGAAAGATAACTGTAAATTAAAGTTTGTGGAATAAAATATGGCATTTAAAAACATAAAACATATCTATATTCATTCTCTGTCACCCTGATTTTGTGAACTTTTTACCTGTCTAAAACCCCTTTTAACAATGGGTGCATTAAAACTCTTTCACTCACTTTATAGTGACAATATCCCTCAGACTTTTTTTAAATGATTATTTCAAAATATTTAAATGCTACTAGGTCGTCAGATGCATAAATTTTAATCATTTAATTACTGTCAGGAATGAATTTATTTAAATGGACAGTCTCTTTGTGAAAATTACTGGGGGAAGTTAAAGCAGCTGTTTATGAAAATGCCAATGAACACATTCCAAGCCATTGTCTGAGAGACAGTGTCAGAACTGTCAAAGAACAGTTAAGAGCAAAAGTTGTAGTAAACAAACGGGCTATCAGGAAATGTAAAAAACTGTTTTCTTGCAATCAAAGTCAGCTGTTATCTTCCAGTGTACTAAGATAAATACTAAAGTTAGACACTTGACATGTCTAGGTAAACAAACTAAATGTTGTTGCTGTTGTTATGTGCCCTTGCGTCGATTCATAAGAGACCCCTCCTTGGGTTTCCAAGGCAGCATCACTATAGAAGTAGATGCCCAACCTTCTTTCCAAGGAGTGGCTGGTGGGTTTGAACTGCCAGCCTTCTGGTTAGCAGTCAAGTGCCTCAGGCACTATGCTACCAGAGCTCCCAACAAACTGAATACACACCTGTAATTGAGAACTGTGAGCTGATATTTACCCAATCTGAGAGCCAGATAGGTTTGGGTAGAATCTTACCTCTGGCCTCATCATTTCTAAATAAAAGTGCATTGTTAGAAGTAGGAAAGCATACTGTGTAATAGATTACTCAGGAACAAAAATTGGTACCTATTAAATGGATGGATATGGCTCAAATACTATCTACACTAAATATCCAATGTTTATAAAGTATTGTTATCTTTACCTGTAAGTTTTCTTTGCTAGTAAGAGGTTTTCCTGAGTTGAATGACTGAAATATCTGCCAATATAAAAAAATGAACATGAGAAACAAGATTATTTGAGCATTTTTTAAAAATAAAACTATTTAAGTATTCTTTAAAAAATACTATTTTTACTACAAAAGTAGTACATGCTGCAGTCAGAAAAGACAAGTATGATGAAAGTATAAACCATCCACAAGTCAACTTCTTTGGGATATCAATGTTAACATTTTGATGTCTCTCCTCCCAATTTCTTTTGGTGTACTTTAAAAATTTACATATATATATACACACACACACAGAGATACACACATTTGTATTGTTTTCACTAAAAATTACATCATAATTATCTTTCATATCATTATTTTTAAACTTCAATCTAACAGCTAGGTAATTGTTCTGGTTACCTAGTGCCACTCTGACAGGAATATACCACACATGGGATGGCTGAACAAACAGGAGTTTATTCTCTTACAGTTTAGAGGCATTAAGTCCGAGTTTAAAGTGCCAGGTTCTAGGGGCTGGGCGAAAGCCCCTCAACCTTGAGCTTCAGCTCTGCCACTTGCTCCTGGCCCACTGGAGCTAGAGGCTTTTCTTCACTCAGGCAGCTGCTGGCTGCTGAGACTGCCAAGCCCAAGGTTGACAAGGAAAAAGGCACACTCCCAATGTTACCACACCACATGGCAGGTCATTCATTCAAGTCCACTGAACCTCTCAACGTTGGCAAAGCATGGCAGGCTCCTGAAAAACGACACATCTACATGCAGGGTTGAAGCAGGCCATAAACTAGAGACCATTCCCCAAGGCTTCTCCTTACATACAGGAGCAGACCACATCCCTCAGGCAGCTAGTCAGCTGCTCCCAGTAGATTCCACCATGGAGTTGATTACCAGTCTCATCAAGGGGAATACTACATCCAGCTGCCTAGCCACTCACCCAGGCCCAGCCAAGTTGACATACAAACTTAACTATCACAGTTATACTCTAACCTATGACTATACCATCATAACCTCTTTCCTTTTCTTAGACCATGGGGGGCCGCTTCCCAACTTCACCCACCATTCAGCCCTAGTTTAAGTAATATTAATGGCTAATTTGTCTACTGTTCTAATTATCATCTTTGGACAGATTCCTAGAAGTAGAATCCCTAGATCAAAAGAGACAAACATATTGAGAAAATTCAAAGGGACTGGCTCAGTTTACAAAGGAGCTCTGGTGGCACAGTGCCTAAAGCATTTGACAGTTCAAACTCACCAGCCATTCTGTAGAAAGAAGACAGGCAATCTACTTCCATAAATATTTACCACCTTGGAAACCTGATGGAGGTCGCTATAAGTCAGAACTGACTCAATGGCACAGGGTTTGTTTTTGGTTTTAGCTTGATTTACAGGGAGCTCTGGTGGTGTAGTGCTTAAGCCCATCAGCTGTTCCACAGAAGGAAGATGAGGCAGTCTGCTTCCATAAAGATTTGCAGCCTTGGAAGCCCAGTGGGAGTTACTACAAACTTCAGTCAACTCAATAGCAGTGAGTTTGGGTTATTTGGTCGGCTCAATTTATACTTCCACCTACACTGTGTGAGAATTCCAAGAGTATTGCATTTTCAACAGCATTGAGTATTATCACTAAAATTTTTTTTGCCAGTTTGAGGTGAATTTGTATTGCTATTCAGAATGATAGGAGCTCTGGTAGCATAGTACCTAAGGCACTTGAATGCTAACCAGAAGGCTGGCAGTTCAAATCCACCAGCCACTCCTCGGAATGAAGGTTGGGCAATCTACTTCTGTAGTGATACTGCCTCAGAAACCCAAGGAGGGGTCGCTATGTGTCAGGTCTGACTCCAAGGCACATAACAACAACAACATTCAGAATGATGATTTTTACAGGCTTTTCCCTTCTTAGTGAATTACCTATTTTTATGTTTGGTTCTAACTGTAATGTCGTAGCAAGAAACATATATTTGTCACAGAAGGTTGTTGTATCATCATATAGGACTCACCTCTCTTGGTATCAAAAGGCTCATTTTAAAACACATCCATTTGTACAAGCCTACTCATATCTCCTCAGTCACCCAAAAGTCACCAGCAGCCTCAGGAGACAGGGCCCTCATAATAAATGATGTCCTACCTACTATTCTGCCTGAGGGCATTTTGTGCCCATAGAGAAAGCAGGAGAGACTAGAAGGACAGGGAGAAACCTCATCAACAAGGGACAAGATAGCTGTTCTCAGTCTCTTTCAGGCCCCAGCTGTCCACCACAGTGACCTTCTCAGTAATGCCCTATGGACTGATTTTTCTCCATTTCCTTTCTAACGTTCCCACTTACCCATAAGGTATCCTGGGATAACTTCCCAAATACATTATTTGCTTATTTGCACCCAAATCCTTGTCTTAGATTCTGCTTTTGAGGGACTCCCACGCCAAGAAACCAGCTGTAGCTTTTTATTGAATGAAAATGCTGGTAAGGGAGTTTTTTGTTCTAAGTTTCATTCTTGAAAATATTCTTTATTTCCCAGAAAACATTGAAAAGTGAGTAACTGAATCCAGGGTGAAATGTTTGTTGGTATAAAGTGAAGAGAGTTTAAAACTAGACTTTAGATTTGGTGATGAGACCAGAATCCTGGTATAATGCTAAAATGGAAAAATTTTAAAAACCTGTGAAAAATTCAACAGTAACCTTTAAGAGTTTTTCAGTTACCTCTTTTACAACTGAAATCTAATTCATTAATTCCTTCTTTAAATATCTAGCCCAAGGCCTAATAACACTGGCACCTATTTTAATTGTAAACCCAGAATGTATTTCCTCTTCTAATTACATTTTTAAAAATTCCCAGCTGAGGCTGGAAAGCTACAAATCAACTTTGAGAATACAAAATGTGAAGTCAGAATCCTCTGGGAAAAAAAATCACCCACCCACCTGTCTTATGAAAACTAGCTGATGAAAGTCAAGTTTGAAATTTATTTGTAAAAATCAGTTTCAGATGCTTTGTTTGCTTTTGGTGAAAGTAGTAGCCACTGAAGTCTCTCATTTTACCTGCTGGCTTTTCTTTGCTTCTCCTACTGATTCCTTCCCACCTTCCTGGCCTCTGAACGTGGATGGTCCTAATTCTCAGTCCTCTGACTTGTACTTTTCTCATACTGACTAGTCCCAGCTGATTTCATCCCAGTTTTATGATTTTAAATCTCTGTACTAATGACTCCCAAAGAACACCTGCAGCCCCACCCTGGAGCTGAACTGAATTTATACCTAAAAATAAAAATAAAAAACAAACCCACTGCCATCGAGCTGATTCTGACTCACAGCAACCCTTACAGGACAGACTAGAACTGCCCCGTAGAGTTTCCAAGGCTGTATATCTTTATGGAAGCAAACTGCCTCATCATATTTCTCCTGAGGAGTGACTGGTGTGTTCAAACTGCTTATCTTTTACTTAGCAGTCAAATGCCTTAACCGCTGCACCACCAGAGCTTCTTGAATTTACACCTCAAACCTCTGAATTCCCACCATCTACTCTTAACACCCACTTAGTCTATATCCCATCTGGTTGTCTACTAGGGCTCTCACTTAATACATTCAACCCCTGTCCAAGCAGTATTGTCCAACACAGTAAACGAAAATTTTGTCCTACCAGTTGCCTAGATTGAACACTCTAGTCATCCTAGACTCTTCTTTTTGTCTACCTCCGAACCATCATCATCACATGCCGACGACTCTAACCTTTACAGCACACCCAGAATCTGACTGCTTCTCTACTCCCACTCCCCGTAACACCACTGTCATCTCTCATCTAGATTATCTGCAATGGCCTTTTTTATTTTTTTAATTGTGGTAAAAATATACACAATGAAACAATCACTGATTTAACAACTTCTGTATATACAATTCAGTGGCATTAATTATATTCTTCTTGTTGTGTAAGCATCATCACTATCCTTTTATAAATTATTTCACCACTATTAACATACACTCAATTTCCTTATGCAAAAACTCCCCTCTAGTAACCACTAAGGAGCTCTGGTAGCATAGTGCCTAAAGCACTTGACTGCTAACCAGAAGGCTGGTGGTTCAAACCCACCAGCCACTCCTTGGAAGGAAGATGGGGCAATCAATCCACTTCCATAGTGATACTGCCTCGGAAACCCTAGGAGGGGTCACTATGAGTTGGGTCTGACTCGACGGCACATAACAACAACAGTAACCACTAAAAATCTTTGGTTTCTATATATTTGATTATTGCATATAAGTGAGATTAGTATTTGTCCTTTTGCAACTGACTTATTTTGCTCAATATCATGTTCTTCAAGGTTCATCTGTGTAGCATGCATTAGGATTTCATTTTTCCTTTATGGCTGAGGAATACTTCATTGGACATATATACCACATTTTGTTTATCCATTCTCTGTTGATGAACCTTTTGCTTGTTTCTACATGTTCACTATTACAGGAAGTGCTTCAATAAACATTGGTGGACAGGTTCTGTCTGTTTCTTTTATTTCTGCTGCCCTATGCAGTAGTCTTTTAACTCGTCTCCCTACTAACACTCATGCCTACCCACAGTCTATTCCCCATACAGTAAATAAAGTGGTCCTTTCAAATTTAACTCCTACCAGGCCACTCCTTTGCTCAAAACGTGATGAAGTTTCCCACCCCATTTAGAGCACTTTCCAGTCCTTAGCAACCTCTACAAGAAGCCCTTCTGTTCAGGAAAATGTCTTACCACAAGTAACAACCTTTCCTATGTGACTTCTCATGTGATAAGACTCATGATGCCCCTTGTTTACCTATGACATGGCCAGAAGCAGACTTTCCAAATTTTCATTCCTCATAAATGAATAACTGAATTACTTCTCCCCAGTGATCAATCAAAAGAAAGTCTCTGTTAACCAAACGTTAATCTTTTCTCCTTCTCCCAAATCCTTGACCTCAGTGTAAAACATTCTGACTTACCATGCAAGTCCCCACACATCTCACTTTCCTGCACATTTTCTTCCTATCCTTGTTTATGCTCAGTATTCTTTAACTCTTTGAGGCACCTGTAGAT